AAATTAATCACTAGACTGTCTGGTCCAGACTCGATTATTTACAGACCGCCGTCATATACCTGGAATATTGCCGTGCACAGCATTAAACAAAAAAAGAAAACAATGACAAATCATCCAGGATTTCATATGTTCTGATACCACCGTTTCCGCTAGGCGCAATTGACACTTATTTTGTATGATTTACTATGCCGCGTGAATGTTAAATAAAAGGTCTATCTTCATTATTGATTTGTCATGTGGTAGTTTCAGAAGGAGTTAGTTTTTAAACATGACACGTTTTATTTAGTACTCTGATACGTTTCGACGTATTCATAGTTTCTCTCTCTCCCATTTCTGCTGAATTGTGCTTAAATGTCATGCCAAGTAAAGTGAACGTTGTGTTTGACCAATCTAATTTCCAGTCCATGTACGACCATTTAATTTTGTGAACCTATCCATATTATCTTAGGTTTGCTTGTATTAATGTGTAATCCGAAAAACGTGAGTGGCGTTCCTTTGTATGGCAACAAGTAGAAAATGTCTCGACAGTAAATGTGATTGCTAAATCAAGATACAGCCAGCTGATTAACATATAAAACAAAAGGGGATGGGGACCAGTGCCTGCAGAGCAACAATAGGGACTTCTTGTCCACGGAAACACACAGTGCCGTATTTAGACTGTGTGTGTTCCTATCTGTGTGGCCACAATTTTCGTGACTTTGCAATCTGAAGTAGATTCACCCAGAAAACAAGTAACGGTACCAAATGAAGCTTTATATAAAAACAAATGATCTCACAGGGATATCACTGACAACCTCGAAAATCGCTGACGCATACCCGAGAAGAAAGGTATTGTGAAGGAGACTTGAGAAGGCTGTGAGACAGCATGCATGTGTTAGCAGATAAACTGGATATATATAATGCACACGATGATGATCAGGTGTTTATAGAGAGAGTACACAGAGTTGGTCGCGGGAGAGAGGGGGTTCAGTACAGACTTATTGTTGTAAAGATTACACGCAACTAGTCCATGTCTCTCAATTTGTCCAGAGCTCGATTTAACCTTTAACGAACACCACTGAAAGTTAGTGAGGACTATAGTTTCACAGAGAAAACACCACCTGTCCTACATGGTGAAAGCCTGCAAAGTGGAAAAGGATCATTCTTTCAATGTTGACAAACTTGTTGTTGGTACCAAATCCTATGATATTGATGTTAATACTGATAAACTCATTAGATTAAAATTCAAATGGGGTCTTTGTCTGGGCCATTATATGTACCAGCAAAGGCAATCAACCCAAAGTAAGCATAAACTTTTCAAATCTTTTAAATTATTTAAATAGAACAATCACTCGTTAGGCAGATATAAACAATGTCAACATTGAAAATATATTGTGAGAGTATCCAATCATAGTTTTGTGGAAAACATGGTGTCGCTCCAGTGCTCCAGTGCAGTTATGGTAATTTGCTTCCATCACTCAAAGTGTTCCATACATGTGGAGGTACGGGGAAGGATTGTGGGAAGGATTGTGTATATATAAACTAGTGTCCAAAAGAAACGATACCAACTTATTTTCAAAATTGTTTTTTACTAAGTGAATTGTCAAGTATGAAAACATGCCAATTCGTATTGCACATCCCAAACACAGCATAGTCGATAAAAAATACCGGGAACACGTGATCACTTCCGGGAAAAAACGTAAATTTCGTGAAAGTGACATTTCCCTCTCTAGCATGTTCTGCACGTGCAGAAAAAACTGTATAAAACGGCTGATCAGACACGTTGATATCACAGCAACAAAAAGAACACAAGATATGCCACGTTTGACAGCCATCGAGAGAGAGAGAGCCGTTGGAATGGTCCAACAAGGAGCGTCACACGTCGACGTCGCCAGAAGATTGGGCTGCGCACGCATCACTATCACCAGGTTGATGCAGCGGTTACGTCAGACAGGTCAGACGTCAGACAGGCCCAGGAGTGGAAGACCACGAGTAACCACGCCCCGTGAAGATCGTTACATCCAGGCATTACACCTGAGGAACCGCACCGTAACAGCGACGTCCACGGCGGCTACAGCACTGGGACACAGGATCAGTCGACAGACCGTCTACAGGAGACTACGCAGTATGGTATCCGACCACGTCATCCCTACCGCGGACCGCTCCTGACGCCTCGACACCGGAACAACAGACTGATCTGGGCCAGGCGAGTTCGACGTTGGCAACGGCGGGACTGGGCACGTGTTATGTTCTCTGATGAGAGCAGATTCCTCATCTTCAGAAACGATGGACGGCAGCTTGTATACCGACGATTTGGTGAACGTTTGGTGCCTAACTGTATCCAACAGGTCCGCCCGTTTGGAGGTGGAGGGTTAATGGTTTGGGGTGGCATATGTGGTGACGTCAAAACGATGCTTGTCGTAATTCGTGGAAACCTGAATGCACAGCGTTATCTTGATGACATCCTACGGCCTGTTGTGGTGCCCTTTATTCAGCAACAGCCTCGTGGACTCCTTTTCCAAAATGACAATGCAAGGCAACACACAGCAAGATTGACACAGAACTTCCTTGCCAACGCCAACGTACAGGTTTTGCCATGGCCCGCATGTTCACCGGACATGAATCCCATCGAGCACTTATGGGACCACCTCGATCGGCAAATCCGACGTCGCCGTGTGCCTCCAGTCAACGTCCAGGACTTGGAACGATGTCTCCTCGAGGAAAGGCAACGCATCACTCCCAACGTCATCAGACGTTTGACGTCATCAGTCCGTAGGCGTGTTCTGGCATGTATTGATGCTCACGGTGGACATACCCGCTACTGACTTGACTTTGAGACGTGTGGTGTGACATTTCCCGTTGTTTCTGTGATCAGTGCTCTAACGAAATGTTCATTTTTCGACCCCACCCATCTTTAAAGGCTTGTCATATTGGTTGTACAGATTTTATTGAAATGGAACTTTTGTACAGATGTTGTAAAAGGATTTCTCAAAAGCATAACACCAATCCTAAACTTCTGCATTGTTTAGTTTTTCTTTTATGTCGTTGCAAACAGGTGGTATCGTTTCTTTTGGACACTAGTTTACATATGTTCTCTTTTTTTGTCTGTGATGATGTCAGGATCACATGTGAAGGATGCTGTGTATTTATTATTGTGAAAGGAATTCGTTAATCCTGATAGATATATTATATTAGGAACACTATACATTCACCTGAATATTCTGCTCATTATTATAGACAGACTACAGACAGCCTGGACCTGCTGGAGAATACACTGCATGACATGGTGACCTGCGAAAAGCTCCTGTATTTATTTCATATCTTTGCCAGGATATGAAGTACGTTGATGATATCATCATACACACATATTGCAGTCATGTCTAATAGACGTTTCGATAGTGTGTTCAAGAAATGAGAGTACAGTCCAGTTCATATGGTCACTAAATGAAGGATATTGTTGACTAAGTTGTGTTCAGGCTATAATATATATATATATATATATGTGTGTGTGTGTGTATGTGTGTGTGTGTGTGTGTGTGTGTGTGTGTGTGTGTGTGTGTGTGTGTGTGTGTGTGTGTGTGTGTGTGTGTGTGTGTGTGTGTGTGTGTGTAAAGTGTAATTTGCAGTATGCCAGATCCGCAGTGGAACTTCAATGTGAAGCACATGGACCGCTCCCCGGCAGACGGTGGTGGAAATTTCCACGCCCGGATTCAAACAATGCCAGACAAACCTGACCGACATAACCAGATTGCAATACTGTATCCGCGACTTCTCAGCCAGATTTAGTTAGGTGAATGTCGATCCTCTCTGTATTGGCAGCACTGTGTCGACACTTCTTCTCCAAAATACAACATTGGAAAATGATCCGTCACAATATAAATATCCTTAATAGGCTTTAGAATACGTATATGTGGATGTCTTTCTTCTTTTTCTTTCTAGCAATTGGGCTTTCTTTGCATTATTACGTCACAAATCAATAGCTCAAGTTTACTAGTTAATGACTATCGGGAATGATTAAAACTGCAAAGTGCATGTTTTTACATATCACCAAATTTTGTTCATTTAACGACCACGATAATAATAACACCCACATCTGACACAACCATACCAACATTAAATATCTTGATATTCTTGAGAATTACTGAGAAGTCGTTTATTCTTGTGTGTGTCCTCTCACGATTGTGTGTCGTTGTTACAGAGACCCCCCCCCCCCCCCCCCCCTGCGATTACACGAGCTATGTTTGGACACATAGATATGTGATGACGAGAGACTCTGGGGTGATCTTTGGGTTTTTGGTAGTATCAGTGTCAGGAGACGTTTTTTTGTCATGACAATTGCACAGATAAGTGTAAGAAATTTTAAGATAAAGTCATTCGCCCAGGGATACAAACGTAATGTGAAAAAACAGAATCCGATTAATTCATAACGACACACTCTCCACCGACCGACTTTAACTTTTGGTGGACGGTTTGTGCACTGTTCCTTTTTTCAACGAGTCTATTTCAGTTAGTTTTTGTTCTTTTAGCAATAGTGAAGACTGGAATGGCGGGTAAAAATGTCATCATATAAATGTCATCATTATATATACTGACAATCACTTGACTCCCACCAAGACGATGGACAAATATAAAGCTCATGACACAAATTCGTGAATATCTTGGGATTCTTCAAATCAAGTGTTACCCGATATAGCATTAGATATTGTTCCACCATCTGCACATAAGCATTTCCGAGCAACACAATTGGACAATGTCGGTACCAAACTAGACTAACGTACTTTATACTTGATAGTATCTACCATGCAAGATGTTAATACACAGGTTTACAATGAACAGTATACAGAACAGCAGATATGGCGGAGAACAGACCTACTGTTATACAGATGTCGGGACATGTTTAAATTCAATCGTAGCAGTTAAAGTAAATAGACTAAACTCCCAGCGCAAGTGCCAGAAGGCATATAAAGTACAAGGATGTCTTTTACAAGAATGATACACAGAGAACCAGAAATACGACTCACCGGCCTGGGGACTGGTCCGACTTCGTCTGAGGTATGCTCCTTCACAGCACTTTCCCCTTGATAGCTAACACTGCGACGTTTTCGGTCGCCTCAAACTTTACCTCGTCTTGCCGCTTCTAACCAAGGGGGCGGAGTAACATAGCTATTTCCTCATTTCACGTTTGTGCTTACTGAGCGTTAAGACCTATTGGGTAACCATGAAACACCTCTTTCCACCACCAGACATTCTAGCAAGTACACGTTTTTGCTTAACTAGGTAGCTGAGAGGCACGTTGTTACCATGGCAACAAACTCTTATAACATGGCGTAATTATTCCCATCATTTCTTTCTTTTCGCAGGTTGGCACCAAATAGAAGAAGTATTCATTGACGTGGGAAAGTATGTGAGAGTGGTGACGGCTACATAGATAGATAACTGTGTCGGAAATTGTGCTCTTGATAAGAGTAAAGTTGGTGTTTGATATATATATATATATACAACTGTCTATTTCCTGGGGTTTGTGAGGCATCAAGCAGACTGAGGCAACAGGCAGAATGCCACTACGCCAGTGTATGATGGTAGATAGGGCCGGGTGGATATGTGCGACGGTCTTTCATTATCAGGGTCCATCCCCAAACTAAGTATACCATGTACGTGTTTGTTATAGACACTTAAAGACGCTGCACATTCCATTAGTGGGTATGCTTGACTAGCTATCATATAGCTTAAAGACATACACGAGTACCATCGGGAGACATCGTATACATGGGCTTCTGTCGGCAAATGCGTGATGCTTATCAATGCACTGCCAAACGTTAAAACACTTGGTTGCAGCAAACATATTAGACATATTAGGATAACTCATCACATTGCCACTAAATCTGTCAACTTATGATGTACACGATGGATGGTAAGTTTTATTCAAGAAAGGAAAATAGGAGCTATAGAGACTAATCAAAAAGTATGACTGATAGTCATAAACTGAATATCTCATCATCTTTTATCTTTTCCCTACATTTCTTGGCAAACTGCACCACGAGTGTGACATCACTCTCTGTCGCTTCTAACCAGGACAATAATATGCACATGCACTTTTCTTAAGAAGATAACATACGTTGGTTTTGGTAACATGAAATTAACATTGAACCTGATTCTATATATACCAAGCAAAAAAAGCATACACGTTAATAACACTCATGAAATACGTTCCATATCCAAGGGTTGACAACATGACGAGAACCGTGCAATCGCATTACCCCTGAGATGCTACAAAAGAAAGTAATATGAACAATGTGACGAAGTAATGAATTCGAAATGTTGAAATGTCTCTTCCAAGCACAGCGTCTGGATGCAAGGAACGAAGTATTTAAATATTCAAAGGCAAGATTTTAATCTGAATATGTTCTATACACATCAAAAAAAGTTAAGCACCCCCCAGACATTTTCTGTATAGTAAATAAGAATAACAAACATGATAAAATTATGTTTGTAAAGAGCAACCATCTGAGAACAAAAAAACAAAACAATTTTGAGCCAGAATGAAATTTTGATTGGGATATGGTTGCCCAAACACCTGTACTCCACAACACAACACCCTCTATAAGTACACCACTGCTAATCTGGAAATAACGATAAATCATTGCACATAATGAAGAGAAATGTGTATTAACGTCCATTAATGACATTCGCGTGTCAAAAAGTTTAATAAGGGGAAATAGCGCCCATTCATGATGCAAAGCTGTGTGGAGGGGGGTGGGGTGTGTGTGTGTGTGTGTGTGGGGGGGGGGGGGGGGTCCATTGCCTGCACTCTACGCCCAAGAATGTCCCGAATGTGTTGTATGGGGTTAAGATCAGGACTCAGGCCAAGGCAGTCGCAATGGCGTTGTTTGACAAATATGCAGTCGTAGCTCTTGAACAGTGGGATCTAGCGTTATCGTCCATGAACAGGGGTCTTGATGCCAGAGGGTGGTTGGCAAAATGGGGAACAACAACTGGTTCCAGAACTTCCCGGATGTAACGTTCACCATTGAGATTGCCCCGTATAGTACAATCGTGGGACATGCACCCCCATATCACCACGGAGCCACCACCAAACGGAACAGTTGGTTTAATGCTCTTGGGGGTGTATGCTGTACCTTGGTGCCTCCACACTCTCGTTCGGCCATCATTCACATGCAGCTGAAACCTGCTTTCATCTGACCAATGGATACGCCTCAATGTTCTGAGGTACCACCCTTGGTGTGCCAAACACCATTGTAATCGCAGTCTCCGATGACGTTGTACCAGTAGGGGGCGTTTGACGACTCTTCGGGCCTTCATTCCAGCAACTCCTAAACGATTCCGCAATGTTTGGCCAGACAGACGTCTATGGGGTAACCAATTACGCCTCAGGTAGGTGCTCGTTGCAAATGGATTTCTTCGCACTAATCGCAGTAATATCCTGTTTTCACGCCCTGACGCCACAGGAGGGCGTCCTGTACGTGGCAGGTTCTTTACTGAATGGGTTTCGGCGTGTTTTCGCTCTAGTCGGCTGATTACTGAGTAATGGTAACCCAGTTAACGTCCAATCGCCTTGAAAGACATCCCTGCGGCATACATACCAATGATTCTCCATCTCAGTGCTTCACATAATCTCCTCCTTGCCATTTGGCGATTACACAAAACTGTTGACACTGTTTTCAGTTCCAGTATTTGCTGCGCGAACATACTGTCTTTTGCTGAGTGCAAGAGAGGCATGATGCACGTGCAAAACACGGGAAACTGGGTGGGCGCACGGGTGGCCCAGTCGTCTAAGGCGCCGCAATTCGCATTGCAGCGTTGCGTCCCTTGGTCACGCCGAAAACCTTTCATTGTGGGTTCGAATCCCGGTTCGCCCGGATTAGGTTTCTAGGTTTGTCAGCACCATAGCCGTGCTAAAGAGTTTCATAAGAATTGTAAACGCCTGAAACCTGCATCAATGCAGGCTTTCCTCCCACAATAAACTGGCACGCTGTTTCATCACTGGAATACTGTTAGAAGCGGCAGTAAACCCAAATCACTCACCCACTCACCTACCCTACGCACTAATATCAAGGTTCTTTGGTCCTTATACTATAGACCGTAGAGTTAGAGAGACAGGGTATGTTGTTTACATGCCAGATGGGGTCGAAAAAATAGGCTCTGTCACATGAACGTGCTGAGGGCATATCCAAAGAGACAAGCCTTGTTGTAACGTTACTACATCTCCAGAGGATAACAGGATGGTCGACATGAAGCTAACCAACAGCGAAATCTTGGTTTACTTGAACATCAAACTGCAGAAATCAACTTAAACTCAGTGAGACGAATTAGAGAATTCGCCTTAATCTTCCCTCATGCCCGAAGTGTGACAACAGCCATGACTCACCGTGTGGAAATGGGAACCACCCCAACCATGCTATACCTGAACAGGCTGAACCCACAGAACCGAGGGTACCTGAAGGCTGAGGTGGACTACATGCTGAAACATGGCATCATCAATCCATCTAACAGCGACTGGAGTTCACCGGAGGAAGTCCATCAACAGTTCAGTGACTGTCATCCATTCCCCCCTATCAAATGATTGCACCGACCATGTCCAACACTCTAAGTTCTCAACCAAGCTCTGCCCATTGAAAGAATATTACCAGATTCATCTTACGGAACGTGCGAAACGATGAACTCCACGCGTACCTCGAGGATGTTGTATTGGATCCACTACCTGGCAAGAATACCTACACCTGCACCAATCTCACCGTTAATCTGGACTGAGGTTCAGGCACAGGTAACGTTCCAAGGTCACGTAGCAGACCTATCATCCGTAGTCCCCGTTACAGCCAAAGGCGACGGTATCCTCGATTTCCATCAGCCTACCATAGTCCCCGGTTTCTAGGGATGGCTGGTTCTACCAACGGTTCTGCCCTGAATTCGCCTCGGGTGCCACTCCCCTTACCACCCTGCTGAAGAAGGACGTAAAGCATGCTTGCCACCTGCTGAAGATGATGCTGTGCTCATTGCCAGTGTTTGCCGCTCCCGACTTTGATGTTCTCTTCAAGCTGCTGCATGTCAACTGGAGCAGTCGCGTGCTGTGTCTCAATCTCAGATACGTTGTTTTATGAGAAAAAGGTGTTAGACAAATGTGTTCCCCAGTCTTAAAAACAGTAACTGTTTCCATTTTTGCACCTGATTGATAGTCTTCACTCGATTGATCTACATTGCTTTCCTCACTGCTGGAAAGGCTTTTTTGACTAACCGCGGGCTCATATTGACTTGGACGAACATGTGTAAGGTCATTGAGCAAAACTTTCACGTTTTCATCGGTGTCATTGTCTGATGATGGCATTGTCAGGTGATGCCATGGCGAACGTTAGTATTCTACTGAACACTATACAGAAACAGTGATCGTCTGTAAGTTAACTCTCCACTATGACGTCACGTCACGTGATGACAACTCTTCTCTTTAACCCTCGGTAGTTTCCGGAATAAGAGTAGGTTATAATGTTTCTGGTTATGACTATTGATGGGAGTCAACCGCTAATGTGGAGAAGTTTATAGATTGTCTTCCCGGAGACGGGAAGGTCAGGGTTCGATCACTGGCCGCGTCATACCAAAATACATTAAACGATGGTACTTGTTTTGAACGTACCTGGAACTGGGCATTGAGGGGATTAAACAAGGACTGGTCGGACTGAGAGGGGTATCCATGTCAAACTGCAGCATGGTCTCACACACATGTACGCGACATTAAATCTCATATCCCTCACTTTTAATGAATAGCTGAGATACCCTTCTAAAACATCTCGACAGGGAAAGATAAGAATACTAAAATATTTCGCACCTGTAAATAAACAGAATGTGGGACACCTAAAGGTGAGCAAGAAGACTTTGTATCTGACTTACAGCTGTGAAAGGAAATCCAGATGTTAATCAGTAATAAGAACATGTGGTGAATGTTTCTTCGAAATTAAAAGGAGAAGTCCTGGTGAAGCAGGGTAAATTACAGTTGCTAAAAAAGGTATCAAAGTTGATAGTGTTGGCGGGCTGACATCCAAAATGCAGACAACATTTGGCGAACACAAATGGCGACCTCGCCATTGATAAGTGGCAGTAGGTGAACAATACACCGATCCGATTCATTTGTGATGACATCAGGAGGTCTCTATCTATAACTGAAAACGTTAAGACTACCAAGAGTCAATGTATGGAAGATAAAAAGTCTCCTTCGCAACGCCACGGACCGGGGAACC